TGGGGACACACCTGGAGACATCAGGGACATACCTGGGTATGTCAGGGACACACCTGGGGACACACCTGGGTCAGTACCTGTGCACTGCGAGCCGGGATTTCTGCAGCAACCACAGGTGAGTCACACCTGGGGACACACCTGGGGGTCAGGGCTCACTGTGGGGTTTTGGGTGGGCCCAGGTGACCCCCAGGTGAGCTCAGGTGTGTCACGTCCCCAGTTTGACGTGGATAAGGAGGCAGGTGAATGGTTGGGGGGTGTCTCAGGTGTGTCCAGGTGAGCTCAGGTGTAGCAGGGAGGGGCAGGGGGGGATCCCAGGTGAGCTCAGGTGGTCTCAGATGACCCCCAGGTGACCCCCAGGTGTGTCGTGTCCCCAGTTTGACGTGGACAAGGAGGCAGGTGAGCGCCAGATCTACCACAGGTACTGCCTGGAGCGCGCGGCCGCTCACTGCGCCCACGTGCTCACCACCGTGTCCCACGTGACCGCCGCCGAGGCCGAGCACCTGCTCAAACGCAAACCAGGTGGGACCCCGAACTCACCTGAGCACCCCAAAATCCCACCTGAGCACGCCCAGACTCAGGGTACCCCAAAATCCCACCCCAAATCCTCCCCCAAAATCCCAGCCCTGTCATCACAGCCAACACCAAGAACCTGCTCAGGTGAGACCCCCAAAACTCACCTGGGCACCCCCAGAACTCACCTGAGCACCCCCAGACTCAGGGCATCCCAAAATCCGCCCCCCAAAATCTCCAAAGTCCCACCTGTCACTGCAGCCGAGGCCGAGCACCTGCTCAGGTGAGACCCCCAAAACTCACCTGGGCACCCCAAAATCCCAAACCCCCAAAATCCCAGCCCTGTCACTGCAGCCGAGGCCGAGCACCTGCTCAGGTACAATCCAGGTGTGCACGAGCAGCTCTGGTGGGACCCCAAAAACACTCAAAAAAAAATCCTAAAAATTCACCCCCCAAAAATATCCCAAAATCCACCCCAAAAAATCCCAAAAATATTCCAAATCTACCCCAAAATATCCCAAAATCCACCCCAAAAAAATCCCAAAATCCACCCTAAAAATACCCCCCAAAATATCCCAAAAATATCCCAAAATCCACCCCAAAATACCCCAAAATATCCCAAAATCCACCCAAAAATCCCCCAAAATCCAGAAATTTGGGGGATTGGGAATTTTGGGGGTTCCAAGGATTTTTTTTGGGGGGGGTCTCGGGGATTTTGGGGTCCCCCTGACCCCCCCGGGACCCCAAAATCCTGATGGACCCCTCCCCAAAATCCTTGAGGGTTTCCAGGGTGGGATTTGGGATTTGGGAATTTTGGGGATTGGGGATTTTGGGGGTTCCAAGGATTTTTTTGGGGTGGGTCTCGGGAATTTTGGGGTCCCCTTGACCCCCCCCCAGGACCCCAAAATCCTGATGGACCCCTCCCCAAAATCCTTCAACCCCAAAAATCCTCGCGGGGTT